GGAGATAAAGCCAATGAGATGTAGGGGGTACAACATGAGTGGGGATGGGTGCATGAACTCTTCAGCGTTAACCCTGCTTGGGGTTAACTGAAGAACTGCTGTGACCTATTTCTCCGAGTGATAGTGACCAGCTGGCACACACACACACACACACACACACACACACACACACACACACACACACACACACACACACACACACACACACACACACACAAAGCTGTTAAAGGATCTTTAATGGCTTTATTCATAAATAAGGCTTTAGACTCTAGAGATTAGTGATGCTACATGGATTAGCAACACTTTAAAATGTAAGGTATCTCCCCGGGAGCTTTCTTTACTGCCTGTTTATTTTCCAGTATAACGTAAAACTGAAACCGGCAAGACAGGTTTTTTTTGGCTCGAAGACTGTGAAATTGGAGAAATGTATTAGCCAACAGTTGCTTCTTTAAACATTCAGCAGTTACGCAGCAACAGTATCGTCGATTTGGAGTTTTTGGCCACCTGATGAACACAGGATCAAAGGGATCCTTATGTGCAATGGGTTTTTGGGGCTTTGTCAATAAAAACAGATGCCTGCTTTGGCCTAAAACAACACAATAAGAGCAGTGAGATTAAACCTAAAGCTTAAAGGTGAAGGCCGATGAGCTGAAACTCCCTATAAAGCTCTGTTAAGCAGAAGGGCCATGCTACCCCTTTCTCATTATTACATCTTGTGAAATTGGAAAATCATTAAGTGTTTTTTTAAGTTGTTCTTATGGTTTTTCTTTATCCTCCTCAGTACTTCACCTGCCTCCTGCTCATCCTCATCGCCCAGGTCACTGCTGGAGTTTCAATTTACCTCCAAAGAGAACCGGTAAGACTCTTTAGTTGCTTCCCCTATTCTCAATCTCACTTCTAATTTCTCCTTCTCTTTACAGTATCCACTTTTAGTCTTAATTTCTTCCCCATTTCAGTCTCTGTCCTCATTTGATAATATTCCGATTAACACCTGCTTCTCATGCCCTCCCCCTCCCAATACCCTTCCTAACACATGGTGACACATCGGTATTCACCCTACACAGCTGGGATGGGCTGAGGCAAACCTTTTTGTGCGCCCCCTGTTTCCTTTCATGGAACACAGGTTTGTATTGTAAGTCGCTTTGGATAAAAGCGTCAGCTAAATGTAATGTAATGTAATGTACCCTAACCAATGGAAATTGACGTGTTGTCAGTTTGTGACTGATGTGAAGTTGGATGTAGGTGGAAAGTGAGATAAATCAGTTGGACTGACGCACATGTGTGACAATGATAGAGAACCAGACCTTTGCACTGAATATCGTTTCCATCGTCGTCTTTCTTGGTTCCCCTGCTGGGTGTTTTTGTTTCTTCTGTTGTATGGGGAAGATAAACAAGTTCATGGTGAATGTGTGTGTGTTGACAAAGCTGCTGTCATATGATGACATATCAAATTGGTATGTCTAACACTGCCTCATCTAAAACAGTAATTATCACCCCAGCACCAGAAACCACTTTCAACTGAAGTCTTTGAGGGAACAGCACCGCCTACAGGCGAGATGATCAACCCACCAGAGTTGACTCAATACACCCTGAGTTGAGTGAGAGCCTATTTAGAAAAAAATAAAGTCCATCAAAATTTAAACAGACATTGATAAACAGATAGATATATAATAATCCCAGGACAAACTTTAGTGTTTAACACTAAGTAAAGAAAATTAGAAAACGGGTCACGACAAACCCGATAACCTCCCTTGCAAAAATGAAAGAATTTTGAATTTTCATGTAAACAGACGGCTCAAGTGTTCTTAACGTTCCACTTCTTAAGATAAATAAGTCATTTAAAAACCCACTGGATTATCTTTAAAAACAAAACAAAACAGATCATCTGAAAGTGGAAACTAAGGGAGATTTCACATCAACGGCGACAATATTAAACATGTGTTCCTTAAAACAGTTTTAAGTTACCAAATACACCATAACATGTGGGTGACCATTACACAGACATTTGTTCTGTTAAATAAGGGACCAAGTCAATAATAGCTCCAGCCTAAATAATACAGGCAGTGTGTTTGCACTGTGCGTTTGAAGGGAGTGTTGTGTTTGAACACNAAAATGAAAGAATTTTGAATTTTCATGTAAACAGACGGCTCAAGTGTTCTTAACGTTCCACTTCTTAAAATAAATAAGTCATTTAAAAACCCACTGGATTATCTTTAAAAGCAAAACAGAACAGATCATCTGAAAGTGGAAACTAAGGGAGATTTCACCTCAACGGCGACAATATTATAAATAAGGGACCAAGTCAATAATAGCTCCAGCCTAAATAATACAGGCAGTGTGTTTGCACTGTGCGTGTGAAGGGAGTGTTGTGTTTGAACACTCAACCTCTCTGACTGGCTTCATGCTCTGAAGCTGGTCATTCTCTCCCAGGACGAAAAAGCTTTTGCTTTGATAAGCCTCACACCTGTAGGACTCCGGGAGGGTAGAGGCAGTTTCAGCTTTTAGCCTCATGTACAGTATGTGTGCACCCATGTGTGTATGTGTGTATCGCTCAGCGTTTTTGTGTGTGTGCAGCCTTAGACGCGCTCCCTGTGTTTAAGGCTTACCACAGGACAGGGTGGTGCCACTTCCCAGAATAGGGAGAGGCTCTCACTCGTCTCCTGTAGCTCTGAGGATGCATCGCTGCCACCCCTCTGTGGTCTTACACACATAAACACAGAGTGGAGCTGCGCCTACTAAACCCATCACAGGACTTCACAGGGCAATACCACCCGAGGTGTAGCCCTAAGAAACATTAAGTTCAGATGTTGCTAGTACATTTTAGAAACAAGATTCTGCGTGGGTGTGTTTGTTTTCTTTTCTTTAACACTGTCTCTCGACCATTCACCAAATAGATTTCCATGTGGACAATCTGTTTACTCTTCTGACAAGCATGCACACACAAACTATTCATCTACAGCTATAAATGTGTCAAGTATAAATAAGTGACCAGCATTTGTTCTTGTTCATTTCCAGTTGAAATATGAGATGGCCAAAATCCTAAAGGACATGATAATCAACTATACCGGCGAGAACAGGACCACAGAGCACACCTGGGACTACGTTCAGAGGACGGTGAGTTAACTCCTAGCCTGGATTGTACAAGAAACACCCAAACGTTTAATATAGAAGAAATTAACTAAATGCATCAGACAAATATATTGTAGTACAGTTCAGATTGTACCATCAATACCCCTAGCCAATGACCATACAAATGACTGTTATAAGAATAAATGCCACATAGATCCAGGTAAAGCAGCAGGTAGGTAGGTATAACGGAAGGAAATGAAAGGAAAACGTCCCTTTACACTGGAACATGTCTGCATGATAAACCACACCGCTAGCCTCACGGTCACATCATTTAAATGGCCTTAGTTAGCTACGTTAGCAATGTTTTGGTGCAATACTTTACAAACAAAACCAATTACTAACAAACCATGCATTGCCTATTTTATTTAAGTTATTCAATTATTAGTTTTAGTACAGATTTGTATTTAGATGTCACTGCCAGTGTCATGTTTTGCACCACATTTAAAAAAAGGTTCTCCACTACAATATGTTATAGGTGATTTGAATTTTGTTAAGAGTGCTCAAAACCTTGGAAACATACATGTAACAGCCACACATTGTCTTTTCCCTCACTTTGAAACCCACCGACCTCACAGTGAACCCTTTTAACTGAATCTATTTTCTACTGCCATCTCTGTGGGTTTCAAACTAAATTCCTTTCACTTGCTTTGTATTGTTTCGAGCTGGGAGTGTAAGATTTAGGAATGGATATCTCAGGATCTCAGCACATCAAACTGAAACTAAATGTACAATCAAACACTTAAATGGTATTTCTTTTCTTTTTACTTGGGATAAAATGACTCATTTAACTAATCAGTACATGGCAAATAAAAACAGGTCAGCTGATTGTTCTACGCTCTGATAAAGTTTATTCTTTTTTCTCCTTCCTCCTTCTCTCACTCCCTTTCCTGCCAAGGCCCAAATCTTTCTGAAAACAGCAGCCAAGAACAGATTAGGCTCAAACACCATAAAAGAGATTTTCCTTTACTGATCCAATCCATTTCTAGTTTTGCTTTCATGTAATTTATTAACTAATCATTTCCGTCTCTCGTCTTTTTAGCTTGCTATTTGTTTTTGTGCCTTTTCATTCAATCCTCTTCTTTATCTCCATATATTTCACTCACATCCTCCCTCTCTTTTATGTCCCCAGATGAAGTGCTGTGGATGGACTAGTCCAGGCAACTGGTCTGAGAACGTTTTGATCAAGAACAACTCCGAGAACCTCTACCCGTGTTCTTGTCGCAATGTGTCCCTGCCTGGCACCGACATTAGGGAAGTCGGGATGTGTGAGCACCTGTCCTCAGAAACACCCATCTATCAAACGGTACATAACCCTTAAACTGCAGCGCTGTTCTGTTTCTCTAATGTTGAAAATCATTTTGAATTGACTGATGAAGCCAACAGCTGTTTTCCCAATAGTCCCGTCTCAGTTCAGTATCAAGTATCAACGCTGTCAGGAAATAATTGCTGTGGCAGTATTTGTGAATACATTGTTGTGATGGAGTAGACTAACTCTGGGATCGGTTATTAAATCTTTCCAACTGTGCCGTCTCGTTTCATAAGTCTGGGGTCACTCAATTCAATTCAATATGCTTTATTGGCATGAATGTCAGGTGAACAATATTGCCAAAGCGTCAAGGATAATACAATTCAATTGTGATATGATAAGAAAAGAAAAAAAATACAATCCATTCATTAAACAATTTACAACAATATATTATTGAAAAACGGCAAGTATCAAATGTAAAAAGAAACAAACAAACACACACAAGAAAGTCACATGAAGTAGAACAGTGGTTCCCAACCTGGGGGGTGCCAAAGTTCGCAGGGGGGGGCGCCAGGCCTCAGATGGTTTGAGGCCAAATATCATATTTTTAGACTTTTTTTTAGCTAATAAAGGCATAAAAAGACAGAAATGTATAATTCTTTCTTTAATAGAAATGTTTCTTCTGCCCGTAAAGTGTCCAAACCAGGCTTTTCTGGATAAGCGCATTTTTAAAACATAGTCATTGTCCATGCCGGTTTCAGTTGGATTATTTGTCACAGTTGCTCCGATCAGATCGGTCTCCTCCATTTTGTAGATTATTTACGACTTTTGAATCCATAAACACATCGGCAAAATCCGGCTTACTTTGAGCATGTGTTTTAAACAGTTTAATCCCTTTGTGAATTGTTTCCACTTGCGCCGTCCTTTAATTTCTTCATACAGCGGGAATCCAAATGAATGAATCCTGAGTCCAATAACCATCAAAGTCACTCCAATAGTGCTCCTTAATTACGCTTTCATCCTCCTTTAACAAAATACTTCACATTCATCTAGTTTGTGAAAGTAGTTGTAGCATTTCTGAGACTTTTAAACTTTAATTACAGCTGGCGCAACTTCCAACAGGAGTCATTTGGGGGGGCTCTTGGGAAAAAAGGTTGGGAACCCTGGAAGTAGAAGACTCTCTCACTCAGGCAGCGTGTGAAACTGCTGTGTCGAGCAGCTGCAGCTCCAGCCTGCCGTCTGCTTCCCCATGCTGAAAGTTTTACTGTGTTTGCATTGTTGGTTGATCATGTACTATACGGATGTGTTAGATATTACTTAATTTAGTATGTTTTGCTTTCATTCACAATATCTCCACAAAGGGCGAACATACGATTATTTTAAATGTGTTTCTTTGTTTTGTTAGTTTAAAGGGTCACTATTATGCTCATTTTCTGGTACATATTTGTATTGTGTGCCACTACTGTGACTTGTTTATATGTTTTTAATGTTCGAAAAGGTCTTTATTTTTCTTATCCTGCCTGTGCTGCAGCACCTCTTTTCACCCTCTGTCTGAAACCAGAGCCCAGTCTGCTCTGATTTGTTAGCTGGACGGCTCTGTTGTGATTGGTCAACCTTTTAGAGATGTCCCGCCCCTTAGTCTATCACGTAGAATGTGTTGGAACGCTAACCAATAGAAGCCGAATGTTATGTAGTGGTGTCACCATGGCATAAGTTTATATAGGACTACAATGGAGGCGAACTTTGGGATTTTAGCCTTTGCAGACCATTTACATGCACAAAATATATATTTTACAGGCAGTGGAAAGCTAAAGAATAATAGGGCCCCTTTAACATTTCCCCTTGATGATGCATCTTTATGAAAGGGTTGGCAACCTGTGTTTGCTACCCTGGCCTACTGGTTCATATAAATGGAAACATGAAAGTGAATTCTAACAGTCTAAACCCAGCTGCAATGCTAAAGCAAGCCTGCCTCGTTCTAATAGACCATCCTCCTTTACATAATTACACAGGTCGGTGTGACTGGTGTTGTGTAACTTCGGCTGCCGGCTCCGCGTGTCACTACGGTCGTACTGAATTAGCAGAGTGAACACCCACAGCTGAGGCGTGTTATTTGTGTTGTGGAAACACCCGGAAAGCTCTATTATTCTGTTGTTTGGTCTGCGTGTTTCAAAAACGTTTCTACCCCTGTTCGTACCGCTTTCCTCCCCTCAGCTAGGCCGTGTTATTCTTCCACTCACTGACCCAGTCCAGAGACAACAGTTGTGTTTTGAAAAGGCTCTGTTCATGTCCGGCTGGGATCACGTTGCCATTCATCTCTTCTCCACTCATCGCTCTGAAACCCCCCTCTTTCCATGTCTTTCTAAACCTCTCCCTCTCTTGTTCTCTCCTTCAGGGCTGTGCTGCCAGCGTGGAGAAATGGCTGCTTGACAACTGTGGAGTTATTCTGGGTATCTGTGTCGGTGTGGCAGTCATACAGGTATCCATTTTTCTCCCCGAACAGACATTTTTCAAACTATCTTAATATCTATACTCAAATGCCATGTGTACTCTATCTTTTATAAAAGTGTCACTAATAAGTATTCCCCCTGTTCATACTGGCAGTGAATCAATCCCTCTCTGATGCAACTACATTGTTAAAGATAATGAATATTTGTTTAAAAGCTAAATGAGATATACAATTGTTGGAAGTCCAGGTGTTGGTTTTCTTGCCAAGAGTTGAAGTAGATATGCGGATTTTAGCACTCTGATGTCGTTCTGTTAAATATGAGCTAGCCTGAAATTCAGTGAAATGGTTCCCCTAGGTTTGGATGGAAAACTGTCAACTCTTGTCTTTATTTTTAAACGAGGGCTCCATTGTTCAGTTTCAACTCTGATAACTAAGTCGACAACTTCCTTTTTCTCCAGCTCCTCGGGATGATCCTGTCCATGTGTCTGTGCAAGAGTGTCGTCCAGGAGGATTATACCAAAGTACCGAAGTACTGATCTGAAGTCGGAGCCAGCTTCACACGCAGATGCATGGACTCTCTTTCTCTCTCTCTCTTTCCTTGTCTCACTTTCTTATGAACACACACACACACACACACACACACACACACACACACACACACACACACATTAAGACAGCTGTCTCCACCACTTGAGCCTCTCCTGCCTTCACAGCTGTTCACATTTCTCACGCCCCATATGTCCCACAAACACACACGCACACAAACACCCACCTTTCAATCCATTTTTGACACACTTGTTGGACAGAAGTCTACAAGTTACCATTGTTGTCTTATTATTTTGTATTTTTTAAGGAGACTTTTTTTTTGGTGGAAGCCTGAGAATTGTGCATGTTTGATACTATGCAGAGATTCATCTATGTGTTGTTTTTGTTTTTCTTCGCTGACCTCAGTGAAGCGCTTAACATAGTTAGTAGAGAGAGCACTTTAGTGACACTTGGTGAGCAGAGGGCCCGTGACTGAGGCGCATGGAGATGAGAGGGAGGGTGTGGGGGG